TTTCACATTGGCTTGGACACACTCCTACATAAATACCCAAAATGCTAAATGGGATTGGTAATCCAATATATTCTTAATATGCAGTTTTTCAACATTGATATTGAATCAAATCCTAATATCATAATGTAATACGATTATACATTGCTTCTTAAAGATATGTGCTATTTTCAAAAAGCAAGGTATCAGTGATTTACGTATTAGAGGTGACATGTTTTTATCATAAGCCAAGTTAAGGCTTATTCACTTGACACAGGTTTAGCCAGTGCGTTGTCAAAATAATTGGATTATGAGGTCCAGATTAAACCAGCGAGTATTGTTGAAGGTTATGATATTTACCCCCTGTGGAGAGAGCCCGTTGAAAAATGTTCCTTCTATACAGCGTGCACTAGAAGGTATGTAGATAGATTCTTTTTCTGTTCATTTCATCAAATGTTAAATCTCAAGCTCTCATATAGTCGAGATTGTGATTATTGCATCTTTTGTTTTTTCTATGTATCAAATCTGTACATTTTCCGCAGGGCTTATCCTATTCATGAAAAAAACACATAGATTTGTTTTGGCACACACAGCCTTCAGCAGAGCGTATAAAATCAATTCAGTGAAGAGTCTGTACAGACTCTCATGTGTACACACAAACACGCACACGCCGCAGCACACGGACATTGCTTTTTGGCTCAGTGCTTCTCTCCCTCTATGTTCGACCAATGTCTTCCTGCAGCATTCAAGTGCTACCTTGTTAACTCAAAGTCAGAACATTCAGTACTAACCAGTGCCATTTCCTGTTATCTGCCATACCTGAGTTTTTTCAACAATAGGGACGGCAATGTTGTTCGTGGGTCTGTCTGTACATCAATTTGGTCCGGGGTCAAATTACTCAACTATACATTACATTTTAATCAGTAATGGTTACCAGAAGTCAAATCCTTCTCATTCTGACTGTTAAACTACTGCTACCAAGAGTTTAACATGTTTAGTCTTTGGTACAATGTGATGACAACTATTTAATAAAATACCATATCATTTGCTACTCATTACATTTCATAACATCTAGCATGGCTGTTGGTTCAAGCTTCTGATACGTTGATATCCACGTTGGCACCGAGTCTTTGCATACATTCTCTGATTACGAAAATGTATGTCGTGCGTAACCGTAGGGGATATTTGCATTCTTGCGGATACGGTACGTAAAAATTGGCTTTAATCTTTTTGATATACCGAATGGACTTGTAGAAAAAGGGTTAGGGTTTACATAGAACGTTGTGTAAAAAGTCCGGATTTATATTAGCTTGAGTCTACCTAGCTTTCTTTCTGCATCACCTCGCTTCACCTGGAAGTCACCCACTACAAGCTCAGCTCCTCTGTCATTGGCTAGAAAGTAACTCTGGTGCAGCTGAGGTTAACTACCGAGCTTGAGGAAACCTTAACTGTAATTACTGAGGGAGTGTTTCTCCTGCAATCCTGTCCGTACATACTGGGACATTTCTTGTTGCTTTTTCTGAACAACAGTAGTCCTATGGAAAACAAAACTGCCATGGCAGGTATCTGAACTGTATCATTTGGGCAGTAATATAGTACAGCAGCTCTCCTCAAGTATTTTATTATAAAGTTCTGTTTTGTTTACTGTGTCATTAGTACAGTTTCAATGGAGTCTCAAGCCTGTTATCATTGGCCTTGGCCTACTTGCCTGAGCTTTACAGCTTGTTTTCTTCCCCCCTCTTCCACTTTGGATCCCTCCCCCCTGCCTACCCTCCTCAGTGCAGTTTCACTGATACGCTATGTCACAATCCTGACACAGCACTTCCTCAGACTCTCCTCAGTTTCAGCTCGCTCCTGCCCCGGAGCGCTGACTGCCTCCTTTGGACAATGCCCATCCTTGTTTGCATCGCCCCCTCATTTCGGGAATCCCGGCATTGCTGGTAACCACTGGTGGATGAGGACGGTGAGGTCACTGTCTCTGTTTAGCCTGGCCTTCTTTCGCCTTCCCCCCCTCTCTTCCATGGCAAGAGGGTGTGGGTTTGGTCTGGGTCGCTTAAAAACAATGGAAGCTTTCTCCATCTTTCGGAGCTGATATGGAATTCCAGACAGACGGGCAGACGGGCAAAACAAAGAGACAGACAGTCAGGGAGACAAGCTAATGCAAGTCAAAGACATCCTGCTTTTTGACTTGACACCTCCATGTAATGGGTATTTATAGTTACAGTATTTTCAGCACCTATTAATCCTCCCTCCCACTCGCTACCCACCAAAATGGCCCTCTTTTCTGAGTTGCTCATCATTAAGATTGAACTCTATTTAATTATCTTGATTGCCTCAGCAAGGCAGAGTGAAACGATAATGAACTATAGTTTCACATTTACTTTGGCATTTCAGTCGGTGGGTTGAACAGATTGAGATTTCACTTTTATGATGAGTGGGGAAAGGAAACACTTTCAATTTGAAGGACTCAAGGGAGCAGAGACATACATCATGGCCAAAAAACACAGTTAGCTAGTTACAAACCTTTTCTTTTATTCTCAAATATTTTCCATCTACACCATGTCAATTTGAAAAAATAGTGTTTGTGTAAAAAGATGAGAAGTGCCATTTATTCAACGTGCCATTTCCTCAAAGCCGCACAAATCTTTTTTAATTAACAAGCACAGTATTTCCAGTTTAGTATCAATTAAAGTCCTAGCACTTTAGCAAACGTAATAAGACAGTTGTGTTTTTTTAAACTTGTTTTTTAGCTTTGCGTGCCGTACTTCTCCATTAAGAAGCTTTCAAAGCATTTTTTCCCAAGAGCTCAGCCTTCCATTTGTCTTTATTAGACCCGACATGTTTCCTCCAATTTATTTTTGCACAGTGATGTTCGCATTAATTATAAGCATTTGATTCCTTGCGCATCAACGGTCGGGTTCCCCTTAAGAGGGTAAAAACCTGTTCGGTAGAGTAAGCCCGGTAGAGAGTCACATGTGGTCTGTTCTGCTTACTGATATATGACAGGTGGTTAAATATGATTGGAGTTGCGTCCTGTATATTTCCATATTGGTCTCTGGCCTCAGTAAGTAGGTTGAAGGCATTTGGTGATTTCAGAAATTGAGATTAAGGGAGGGTGTTCACCATGGAGCCTTTAGACATTTATTTCAGAAACACTTTTTGTTATATTCCATGGAATGCTCTTAACATCCCGATAGCAATGAATATATTAAATGCTTTGACAATAAATACATAGTAAAAAAAAAATTCATAGTAGTAGTACTGTAAAAAGCACGACCAATCATCTGAGCCGGCCCGGCTAAAATAACTGGATGGCCTACCTGCCTGTCAGCCTTCCATCTGTGCACAAACTTATCTCGTGCCCTCATTGGTCATGTGCGCATTCGTGTGTGTTGGAGGAGGGGCTCTGTAAGGCAGTGGCAGATTTTTCCCGGTTGTGTATTTTCAAATTCTAGCGCCCTCGAGCTGGTTTCTCCAAAATTACATACCCTACCTTTAAATAATGAGCTCAAATATTTGTCCATGTCAACAATCTATAGCCATCAATTAGTATGGCAACAGAGTTCAGGAAACTTTCAGGTCGGGCTCAGTCATTTTCCATATCATTTCAAATCTCTGTGGAAACAGGAAATCCTTCAGCACAACCCTTCCCTTTAGATCTGGTAATGGGAAGTCAGGAATAGGCTATTTTGGTGGCGTTTTGTTCCCTTTCATGCAAAATCCTTTTATCTCTACCATGTTCTTCCTCAATACCTACTTCTAGTCTAGCACATGTTCTACCTACTCTGCTAATACTATTTATTAATTCCCAACCCATTCTTGTCTCGAGGGTCTTTCATAATCTTAATGGGTTGTTCAAAATGATAAGCTCTTTAAAGGTACTTATATATCCGTGTGTATTTGTAAAGTGAATTCAGACTTCATGTTTCAGTGCCGTATACCTATTTCTAATCCTGGAAAACAAATGAGGTCATAGTAAAGACAATTGGTCATCCATAATGTTACAAATGTTCCCTTCGACTATTGTGTTTTATCAGGATTTGACCATTTAATAACTTGAAATTTGTAAAAGTAACTTTGGTCTTTCAATTTTGACCCTATTTTTCCATGTTTTTGTCTCTGAGTTACTGACCGGGAGAACCAGTTTTGGTTTTGGTCCATTATTGAAAGAATAAGACTCAGATAACACTTAGCAATACTTTTTCTGTACTTGAACACCACTAACATACCAGTACTTATTTCTCTAACTCTCACTCAAGTTTACACCATTATCTTCCTGCTACAAGGGACAGGACAAAGCCAAAAGGTAAAGACAAAGGGTTAATTTCTCTGTGGGATATTTAAAATAGCATCTGAGTCAGTGGCAAAACAAGCACTTTTAGTGGACCTACAATGACGGTGCAAAATTGCCCAAAGCGATTGCGTTGCAGCCTGTGTAGCGTCTGCTGTCTGCAATGGTCCACTCAGTATTGCACTAATTAAAACAAATTGTTATCCCCTTTTAGTCATTAAGTCTGCAACACAAAACGTGGGATTAAAAGGGTCCAGGTAAAAAAAAAAACTATAGTGCAGTTTTTACTCAAGCCATAGAACCCTGTATATGGTTAAGGCTGTATTGATATCTTAGTTTTTAAGATTTCTTGGCAAATATTCCGACATAGGGATTAGATGCCATTAAGGCTACCTTTCATTTAATTTTCTTACGGGTATTACTTTAATAGTGTATTGATTTAACATCCTAATATGTTGTTAACATGATTGGGGGCGACTGTGGCTGTGAGGTAGTGTGCTGGTCTACCTACTGGAAGGTTGACGGTTCAATCCCTTGAGCAGGTGGCATCTTGTATAGCAGTGTCTGCCTCTGAATGAATGGGTGAATGCTGACTTGTATATGTAGAAGCACTTTGAGGTATCGTAAAGACTGGAAGAGCGCTCTTTAAATGCAGTCCATTTACCATTTAAAAAAAACATTAATGTCATGTGTTACGTCTGTCCTAATGCCTCCTATCTGGTGTCTTTCTCAGCACTTGGTCCAATGGGATGCTGGGAACCCAGAGTGTTTGCTCCAGCTGGTGAAGGAGCTAATCCAGCAGTATCATCAGTATCAATGCCAACGTCTACGTGAAAGCTCCCGGCTACTCTTTGAGTACGATAGTCTGCTGGAAGATCCCAACTATGGCCGCAACATGGAGATTTATGCCGGACGCAAGAACAGCTGGGTAGGCAACGGTTGACTACCTGTTGAAATTACTTCCTTTTTGTGAAGTCTTAGATTTTACAAAACTCAGGATAAGGTGTTGGTTTCAGAAAATACATAGAGGACAGTTCCTCATGTTATTCCTATAGCTTGGTCTATCTTGAGTTGAGAAAATAAATTGTTAATTGTTAAATGTTAAGATAAGATGGAATGACATGACCAAGGCTTGATTTTCTTTGCCATTCCACCATTAAAAAACCCCCACTATTTATAGAATCTAATCCTGAATCATAATTTCATTCACATTTCCTTAGCAAATACTGTAGCTAATAAGGTTTCCTCTTTGATTTTTCAAAAGAACTTGTTTCAGACAAATCAGAATCATGTGTTTTGGATTTGGAACATTAATTTTGTTCAGTCCTAATATGCTGCTTCATGGCACATGATGTTAAGACTATTGTGCTATCAAGTTGTGTGTCTGTGTGTAATCTAATTGTGTGTCTAAAATGTAAGTTTTATATAGGATTTGGAACATCATACTGCAAACAATTGTTGCATGTTATTAAAGAAAGCTAAGCAGTTTTAATCTCTTTAACTTTATAATACTTAAAACATCATAGTTAGTATTTGTTGATACTTCTAAACAAAGTGATAATTACCCAAACTAATGGCAACCAGATTTACTATTCTTGCTTAATATGTCACAGTAAGAAATGAAGGTAAGGTAAGATCTTTGTTATTCTTCAGGCGGTTTTAAACACACAATGACAGTGTGTTGTCTTGACGGATGACGCTCACACAGAACACATCTTACTCTGACCATCTAAGATCTGCATGTGAAGTGTAGTGGTCAGCCCACTGTGACCAAAAGTCAGTCCCATTAGCTGGACAATAGACCTTGAGGGTTTTTTTTTCAAATATCGAACAAATGTCCACATTGACTCAAGGATGAGCTGTTTACAATTTGATGTTCAAAGGTCAAAGTCACTGTGACATTTTGTACACAAATGACTGTTAACTTCACTGGTTAGCTACAGCAAGGCAGTAGTTCTAGTTGATAATAATTCCATCTGCAGACTGTAATGTGCATATACACACATATTTTTACATGCATATTTTGTGACACCAAAACTCTTTATTGTTGTAACTGATTTGAAAGGGTTTTTCCTCTGTGTCTTGTTCTCCAGACGGGAGAGTTTTCAGCCCGTTTCCTTCTCAAGCTGCCTGTGGACTTCAGCAACATCCCTGTCTATCTCCTTAAGGTAACTACCCTCCAAACCCCATACACATTTTGACTCTTTAATAAAGTACCCACCTACTTTCTGCTTCTACACATTGCAGACCTGCCTGCAGGGCTGTAGACTTTTATTTTCAAAGTACATTTTGTCACTTCCTTTAGATATAATGAGGGTCCTTCTGTTTACGTTCTGTACTTTCCTTTTCCCTATGTTCACATGTATTTGTGTCCATATGCTGTTTGTTTTTTGATGTGTGCAATGATTATAGCAGGCTTTATTTAAATGAACTGCAATGCAATTGAGTGTATGCAAGTATGCGTGTGTGTGTATGCAGACTCCAGTCTTGGGGGCTGTGAGTTGACTAATCAGCAAGCCGTCACTCTCGATCTGCTCTGAGCCGCGTGGTGTCTGGAGGCAGCTTAGCACACACACACACACACACACACACACACACACACACACACACACACACGCACACACACACACACACACACACACACACACACACACACACACACACACACACACACACACACACACACACACTCTCTCACTCTCTCATTCTCTCTCCCTCTCATCAGCGATTGCCTTTCCCTTCTCTCACTCTCCCCCTCATCTCTAGTACTCTTTTCACTCTCTGTCAACCCCCCCTCCATCTTCCACTGCCTGTTTGCTGCAGGCCCCGGCTCTCTGGCCTTTTCCAGCCTGGCCTCTTGTTTGTGAAAGGAAAATGATGGTAAACATAAGGGATACGGCAACCATCGTCAGCCTCACATCAGCCTCTGTCACCATATTTCTCAGACCTGCAGCACTCAGTCTCTCAGAGTGGACCCATCCAATAACAAAAGTTATGGTCATGATAGAATATTCCTTTTTTTTACCTGTATGTCTTGAGGCAGGAAAGTTTCAGCCCTAAGGGGAGCTTTATGGATGACATTTTTTTTTTGTGCTGTCACTTCCTGGAGATTTCGTTGCAAAGGCTTTGAAAAATAAGCAGACATACTGACACCTTTTACCCGTGGGTGGTGCAAGCAGTGTAGCCATTGACACAGTGTTGTCAAAGAAGAACTCTCTGTAATATTTACTGATTTCTATTTGCGACAAAGTCTTGGATGTGGATGTATGTTTCTGTCACCCTAATCATATCATGTTCTTTGCTGCACACACTCTCGCAGTATTATGCCGTATTTGGCAGCTTGGGGTATACATAGTATCACCATGGGAGCACTTGAAGACTAAAGAAAGATGTATCGGCTCGCGGAGAGGAAAGTAATGAACATCAGCCCACACCTTGTCCTCCTACGCATTACAGAAAGATGGGATTATGCAGCGTATAGGCCGGACTCTAAGAACACAAATGTACTGTACGCCAAACCGATGACCTGGATTCTCAGCCTGACAGTTGTCATGCAATTACTTCTGTCAGCCAGGATGCTGTCTGGGGTCGGGTCTTTTTATCCGTTGCACATTTCTGCACTGCATTAATTCAATGCTGTTGTAGAGCAGTTGAAATGCAATTAATGCTACGGTTCTCCCCGACTGAGCAAGCATACATACGCTATAGATTCAATGTTAAGTTTGTTATATGACACATAGAATTGGGTGTAAAGAAAATACTGCGCACATACTCTGCCTCACCAGTTATCCTTGACCTGTAGGTCAATGCCGCAACCAACCAAGAATGCATCTATCCGAGCGGATTAACGTGAAGGTTCATTGGCTCTCTGAAGTGGATGTTCTGTACACCAAAGCCACTACACTTTACAGAACTGTATAAGAAAGAAAATATCTGACAAACAGGGCCAGATTTGATTGCAGCCTTGATGCATTTTTCCACAAATACACGTATGTTTGAAGCTGGCCCATCAGGATCAAGTCGCAGTAACTTATTTGTGTACGTGTTGGTGATTATCTACCCTTATCACATGTGCATTTAAGGAAGATGATGCAAATAGAAATATAAATTGTTACAGTGGTTGATTATGTATTCTGCTCAAATTTGCTCACCACACTTGGCACCGTCAGTTTTGCAGGGAATATTCTCTGCCTCTGAAGACAAAGCTTGATATTGTGTAAAATGAATTTACTAGTGCCATGACAAAGGTTGTAAAAGGAACAAGAACCATTTATACTTGCTTTTATATAATTAATGAGGGGTTATTAGAAACATTACATTTAATTTAGCTGACGCTTTAACCCAAAACGACTTGTAAAATCACTCATGATGAAGATATATACTCAAAACAGCAAGAATCCTTTTAGCACATTCACTTTCAAAAGCCAAACCATTGACGAATTGGCAATATATTGTTATTAATGTTGACAACTTGATAACAGTAACTCAACAAATAGTTGACATTATTGGGTGTAACCGTTTGGTTCATACCCGGGTTCAGGAGTCCAGGTTCAGTGAGTCCAGTACAGCAGTAAAAAGAAACCCTTTAATATACATTTATTTTTCATTTATTTTTAACAGACTAAGACGGACAAAATCCTCTTTTTGGGAACATTGGTCAACACTTTTTTCATTCTGAAGATTAGCAACATTTCTGTATAAGTGTAAGAACACGACAACATGTCATAAAGGCTACAAAACAGAAGGATTGCTGATTGTTGCTTCAAATTCTATGACTGCAGTACACATTTGCGAACATTTATTGACTTAGTAAATAAATGTTTATTTAAAAGATTCATGTGTTTATTTTAACTGCTGAGTAAAAGATCACAGTTTACTGCGTCATTCTCATTCATTTTAATGGGACCACTATGTTGACGTGACTCCGGTGGCAAGAACCTGTGTTGCCCTGCAAGAAAGTTTATATTTTCCCAAAATGCAATGCAGTGCTGGATATAGTTTTTTAAGTAATTTGCAAAATGACATGCACCATTTATTTTTGTATTGCACCATTTGGTGTACTTGTCCTTCTTTCTCAGCATAAGGCCACAAAACCAACATTTTTACCCAGATTTCACAAAAATGAACAAGCTAAGAACATTTGACTAATTTAGTATTTTTTTATGTTTGAATTACTTGTTATTTTTTTAGTTATGTGCTGTGTATACCTTTTAGCACAGTTTGAATGTCTAATAAGCATTCAGAGTCTTGTAATGTAAATCCTCAATCATATTTAATGATTTCAATGCTATCAGACCTTTTCATTAGTACAACACAGGGCTGTGTTCAGTCATAACGCCCACCAAGTCCTCCCAATGAGTTATAACCTTTTAAATAACAGCTCTTTCTTTACAAAATGGTCAACACACATACAAAAAAAGTGATGCTTTCAGACAGAATATCAGCCAGGTACTCTAGGTAGAGGTCAGACTGTTGACCCTGATTTGAATCAACATCCTCATCGAATCCATGGATGTCCTTGCTTGAGGAAGGGAAGGCTCGGCACTGAAGCGGAAATCTGTTCAGACACGGGGCTACTCCGCGCTTCTAGTGGATGGCGAGATGTTGCTGGTGGGCGCGGAGCTGTGGAGGACGACTGTTACCTGGAGCGAAGCATCCGCGTGGTCTGAGCTCACCACAGTGGACATGTTTACCTTGCTGCATGCACTGCCCAGCCTCGGGGAGGGGGGAGGAAATGCACGTTTGTTTTTTTTGTTTTTCAAAGAGGGCATCCCATCATAGTCAAAAGGAGAGAGTGGGAAGGACACTGCGAGCGGGGATGAAGGAAGACAGTGAAATGCACACAGATGGATGTTGGCAGTTTTCTTCTTTAAAGGCCACGTCGTCCTCTTGGGCAACGTTTTACTGTCTCATCCTTTGATCATACCTTGACCTCTGGGCTGTCACCCGTTTGAAGTCCCTTTTACTCATACCCTGTCATTTAGCATTGGCCTTTGACCTTCCACTGTAGTGGATATTTGCTCATATCGCTTAGGTCTTTTACCGTGGTTGCAGTACACTGACTCTAGTTTTTTATGGTCTACTTAACTTATCAATTCCTTAAGGTTGTAAGTAGGGCTGCAGCAAACTATAACATTTATTTTCTAGATAAATACATTTATCGTCTGCTCTTTAAATGTAAGTAAACCATCAAAAATGTCCACCCCAGTTCCTCAAAGTCCTATCCATCAGTCCAATACAGAAAGATATACAGTTTAATATTATATGACATGACAGTTAAGCGTTTAGGGCTGAAAAAGTTATTTAAAATGTAATTAAATGTAGCTTTGCATCAAGGCTGTTTAACTTCCTAACACTAGCTCTAAGGGACTTATAATACATATTTAAAATACTAATTTGGACCAACTAAATAAAAATCATTTTAAAGGAACATTTTAGTCTTTGGAAAATAACTACATAAACATTATGTTAGGGTTTTAATTAACATTAAGCCGTAAAGTGCTGCTCTACAATTAAAATGTACTCTTATTATGATCATTAAACCTTTTGACAGTTTTCACTGACTTAAAGGCGGTTCAAATAAGATCGATTTTTCTGTTGATGGATTTATAGATTATTGGATGAATTGTCGCAGATCTAATCAGATAAAGACATAAGGAAACATATTTGGTTTTCAGAAAATTCTTATGTTTCCTGCTACTCCAGGATTTTCCTAAACACAGAGAAGAGCAACGAAAATCACAGATGTGACCTTTACATTAAAAGACGTCCTTTTTGCATCCCACTGGGCTGTCCGTCCGTCCCGCTCTGTAGAGTCTGTATATGTGCAGCGGCGGCTTGCCTCTAAATGTCCACACTGATCAGCATGGAGTGACGCCACATTCGTGACTGAGCCCTCTGCTCTCGCTTCACTTGAGCTTTGTTTCCCCCACAAGCACTGGCCCGTGTCACCAGCTCCAAAGCAATTGGTGTGTGTGTGTGTGTGTGTGTGTGTGTGTGTGTGTGTGTGTGTGTGTGTGTGTGTGTGTGTGTGTGTGTGTGTGTGTGTGTGTGTGTGTGTGTGTGTGTGTGTGTGTGTGTGTGTGTGTGTGTGTGTGTGGTGTGTGTGTGTGTGTGTGTGTGTGTGTGTGTGTGTGTGTGTGTGTGTGTGTGTGTGTGTGTGTGTGTGTGTGTGTGTGTGTGTGTGTGTGTGTGTGTGTGTGTGTGTGTGTGTGTGTGTGTGTGTGTGTGTGTGTGTGTGTGTCCAGCCAGCCGCTGCCATTGATCTAAAGGGATGTTTCAGGTGAACAAACTGCTTTCTTCCGGGGCATTCTGCGGGAGATAACTACAAAAACATTGCGGTTGAACTTTAAGACAGGAGATTTGATAAACTCAATAAATCATACAACATTACACTAAAATCTTCTGTCTTGTAAATCCTTGTAATCCTCACATGTGAAGTATTCACAACGAATGATGTGTCTGTAAAAGCAGACACATCAGCAGTTAAAAAGCACCTAACGGTTTCTTATTGCCGCCCTTTTCATCCCAACTGATGGGTTTTATTATAGTTGTTTTAGACTGAAAGCACTTGCATTATGTGTGCTTTATTGGATGTTGATGCTCTTGTTTAGTTTGTAGTATTTTTGTTATCATTGCGAGTACACATTGTCAGCACAGTTAAAGGAATAGTTCAACATTTTGGGATATGTGATTTGACCACTTTCTGGTGAGCAGTTTGATTGAAAGATGGACACCCTTGTCATATCTCTGTTATGCATAAGGCTACATGCAGCAGCTGGCTAGCTTAGCATAGCACCAAGGCTAGGAACAATGGGAAGAAAAATCTACAATACTAGAATCAACTAAGAAATAACATGGCACCCATTTCTCAGAAGAAATGCAAAAGTGTTGTTTTAAACAGGTTCTTTTCAGATTAACATATCAGAATTAAGCTGTTAAACTGCCTGACTAGATGTTTCCAGTCTTAATATAATTATATCTGCATTATTGATTAGGATTTAGCCAAAATTTCAACATTTTGAAAAACAACAAAAAAATCTACAAGCCGTCGCAAAACCATTTTCACCCCCTTCATTTATTTTCTTTTTGATCAAAAATATCGCAATATTTGTTTTTTCTTCATATCCATACTTTAAGGCCAGTTTTGTATTTGTAAATGTTTTACCTTCTTCTTTTGCCATGCCTCTCCAATGCATAGCATCCCAGCCCCCACCAGGTCTAGACGTTTCTGAATCTGTAAAAGCTGTGCATGCTTAAACAACAGCACTTGCATCTAATCATTTGTACTCTAATTATTTGTTGTACTGCATCCTCACCCCCTCCCCCATACACACACACACTCTTTAACCTTCAGAGCTCTACATGCAGCGACCGACAGTGGAGGGTCAGGGTGAAGCAGAGCCTTGGGCTTTCGGTCTGTCTTTTCGTTTGTGGAGCCGGCGTCCCTGACTCGGATTATTTCTGTACTTCCTCCACATTTCCTGTCTTGTTTTATATTCTTTCATCCATATATACTCTCTTGAATGAGCCTTAAGCAAATATCCCATTACCAAACTTCTTTTTTTTTTAATGATGAATGATCTAAAATAGAAGCTAAATACTCAAATGATGGTATTTAGCTCAATAATGTCAGGGGTGGGGGGTTAACATACACATCAGTCAATCTAGCTATTAATCAAACCATTCTCTCGAAATGCATTTAAATAGCACTTGTTTGTTTATGAAGCCCCATAATGTTAACCGTGAAAACATAAGAGAAATGTACAGCCTTAGACTAATGCACAAGTGACAAGACAACATTGAAATAAAGGAAATAAAATATATTTAAAAGCTATAATAACAGAAATTGAAGAAACCAGCTTGAGATAAAAACTAGATTGAGGCTGTTCCTTCCATTATGGGTTACATCAGTAAATTACGGTTGTTGTTATTATAATAACAAATTATTCAAATTAACTTGAAAGAAAATAAGACCAGAGAGATCATTACAAATTAAAAAACAGAAACATTTGGGTGTTCAGAAACCAAGTGAGAATTCAAATTAAAAAACATAATAAAACATGTTTTAAAGGTTTAGTAACAGCAATATTAGTAAAAACAGCTTGAAAAAGAAAAGTTGTGATTATAACTAGATATTATTCAAGGTGAAGTGGAGTCTATGTGGGTCCTGACTTTTTTCCCTTTAGTTAATAATCCCTGCTCCTATCATTAAAGAGCTACAAATCAGCTTTGGTAAACACTTCACATAGGTGGCGAGAACATGAACATTTCCTAATGATCCTCTTCAAATGTGTTCCTGACACTTCTCGAGGCTGTGTTTGACAAAGACACTGTCTTCCACTTCAGGAAAAGTAGGGTGAGAGCGCAGCGTAGTACCCTTTATATATACAGTCTATGGTGGTACCCCAGGGGCCGAGTGGAGGAGCTGGGGACAGATTGAGGGTAAGGCTTGAGTTTGTAGAAGAGTGCGGAGAATGCACGTCGCTATCTCTCCTTAGATACAGAGGACTCTTGGTATACTGTAAGAGTCCTCTGCATTGTCAAGGCACATGACAACAGAGTGTTACTTGTGCGTAATGTTACCGTGGTTACACCCAGGAGTGCATCAATTGAAATGCTTCAAAACTATACTGAATTTGAGGAGAAAGATTGTGTGAACATCTTACTGTTCTACCTAGGGCTAAGTCTTTTGGGGAAAACATCTATTTCCTATTCTTCTAATCGATATAACGATTAAGTTCAATTTGATTCCAATACATGTAACCACAATCCCTGTATTACCAGGTTCTATGAGCTGATAAACAATGCACATTTTCCAAAGCATTATTACTGCGAGAATTGAATCAAATGAATTAAGGCAGTTGTTTGTTGTTGAGGTTCTCCAAGGGCTTATCTCTAAAAACCAATAAATCAGTTGAAGTGTCAACCTCTGCGTACACATAATTCTCTTGAGCATTAAAAACTGCACTGAAAAAACACATTTGAAATAGAAATGTTAATTGTTCAGCCCTTCCAGCACCCATGCTGTTTACATTGCTAAGTTTGCTCAAGGACAAGTGGCAAACCGAGTCTTCAATGTAATTTGAATGATTAACCTCTGCTCAAAGCTGCTGCCTCTTTATACGGTGTTTTTCCACTACATTATTCTCAGATGAAACCACTATTAGATAAAGAAAAACATCCCTAGAACCTACATCACCTTTCAGAGTGTTCTTACCGTTATAAAAGGAACAAACGGGAAGCCCCAGAGATGGCACCAGGTCAGGTGTTCATTGATTCATGGGGCTGAATAAGTAGGTGTTGTTTATTCTAATCAATGGTTTTTACCATCCCACTCTTCACCTCTATTTATTTCTGTATTGGTTAATATCTTTTATCTCTACATTAGGTTTTAAAATAGATTGATAATGTTAACAGTAACCCATGACCAAGAAATGAAATCATTTACAGCAATGTGTGTTATCACATTTAAAGCCAAAGAAACAGAACATTCTCACATTTTAGAAGCTTGAACCAAAGCTCAATTATTGAAAGAAATTATTTATCCATTATCAACGTTTTTGCTGATTTAAAAAAAAAAAAATGTGATTATCTAATAGATGAATAGATTATTTGTTTCCGGTCTTTTGGGAGCCTATCTTGGAAAACAGTTAGAAAACAAGTCTTTCAAATCGGAGCAAATGACTTCTTCTTTAAAACCACTTTAACACCCAGCCAAGATTGAAACTAAGTCACTTATCTGACGGCCTACACCACAGAATCACCCCCAGCAACTGACCCTTTTCGTTTGCGTGTTTGTCCAAAGGTCCTTTTTTTCAGGACATAGGAGTGACCACAGCTCTCTAAGAGATAAGCACGAAACCTGTTTTTCAGCAGCTGCGGTTACCTTACCTTTCCGGTTGCCACATAATTGTCACTCCTTTCTCAACCGCTCATGAGGCTTTTTGTTGTTGCGGTTTTTCTGTCCAGCTTACGTCCCCCACTGCGAGGCAGTTGAGCTTTTGGAGAAGTCGTGGCTGAAGATAGACTACTGCGTCACAAGATGAGTCTTTCACAATTCTCTCCGCAGACCTGGAAAATAATGTTGTGGTCAATGCACACGCACACATACATACACATATACATGCACGGACACTCAACAGTGCCAATCGTTAAAGACCCATTAAGGCTATCAGTAAAACGGCCTTCACAGCTATCTATACTGTCCATTGCGTCATTTGTTATGTCGTGACCAGAGTAAGGAATTCAATGGCATTCAGTGTCCCATTGACTCTCTATTCTTCTGTCGGTTTGACCTCCTGGTTGTGGTTTTGACCACATGGCTTCACATCAGTTTGAAAAGGTTTTGTCAGTCAGTTGTGTGAATTGATTTGAATGAGTGGTTACTTGATTATGCTGTCAAAACATACTGTCGTGGTACTAATCCTGGTAACACAAGACAAAAGCAAAAACAATAAAAATGATCTAATGGCCTCTTTCCGCCCATTACCTTTTTGTCTTTCTATTCTCAGCCTGTCTGTTACTTTGGGAGAAAGCTCAGGCCTGTGCGTGACTGTTGAGCATTTTGTGCCAAAGCAAGTGGTTGTAATTTGTGGCCTTGCCGTGCCCTTGCACGGTAAACACTGACTAAGAGCTCAGGAATCTTAAGAGCTATAAAATAATTGCAGGTTACTCCCATAATGCCTAGAGTGTTCTGCTTGTTGCCTTAGCTCTACCTCTTCTTCTTCTATCTCTTCTCTTCTTTTTGCACAGCCTCTACAGGTACTATGCAAAAAAGTATTTATTTTCACGCTGTATATCTGTACTTTATAGCAGATACTGACACAAGGAAAGGAGATTTAATTCCTGAGATGTCATAAAGGTTTACTAAATGTTGACTGTCCTGCTATCATGGGAAACTAGAACAAATAGTTCAATGTATTTTTATGCAAAAGGTAAACTCCTGCATAAATTAAGAATGTATAGACACCAGTAGAAGATGTTTCATCCTTCTGTCCTCTTACTTGTTTGAATCCAAAACAACTTTTGCCCGGTCAGTGTGCTTTCTGCACAGGATTCATTGTATCTTTGAGATGTACTGCATGTTTTTAAAGCTCATTGGAAATCTACTGTACATTAACTACTTGCAATACTCAAAGTGCAAAGAAAATCTTCTGCTCTGTATTGAATAAATTCAGGGCAAACCTAAGCATATCAAGATGCATTCATATTTCTTTCCAAAGTGCTTTTTGATAGTCCTGTTGCTGAGTGATGGCTTGTCTGTCTAGCAACGAGACATGGCATTTAGTAAGAAAGCAAGTTACCCAAAAGACATCGTCAAATAATTGCCAGTTTGGGCTTCACTAATGCAGAGTACCACTGAAATCTGAAAAGGCCAGCCAATGCTTCCACGCAGATAAACAATTATGTGGCTTTTAAATGGTGTATGTATTATAGCTTGGTATGCTCTTGAAGAAGCATTTAAATGTCAGGCTCAACAGCTCAAACAGAAATAGGAAGTGCAAGAGTAGAAATTGTTCAAATATACAATTTTATATTCATTTTATCTTTGTATATTTTATGTATTCTGCACAGAAAGTGTCATTTGATGATTTCCAGTGGCTTGTTTCCAATCAGAAACGTTATCAAATGATACACAATTTGGGAAATATCTGCATGATTGCTATAAATTCAAACCGGTGGCAGGAAGTGCACACCCCTCTCCTGCGTTTGCTGGCGCAGCAAACTGAAACTCCTCTGTTGCAAGAAGCTGGATGCAGTTGCAAAAGAGGAGGATACAGTGGGTTGTGGGTAACTCTCTAATGTGTTACATCAGTCAACTCAGGGTGAGAAATATCAGATTTAGGCTGATTAAAGAAAACTTAAACACCATTCATATTTACATGATATTCAAACTCTGAACTTACACTTACAACATTCTCATTTGTTTTATTCAATACAGAAATATCATGGTTTTAATTTTGATTTATAGTAAACATTATATTATGTGGAAAAAGTAAACCAGCAACATCTTATCTGTCCATTGGGAATTCATTCCAATCCATCAACAAGGACCGACATTTTAAGGGTTAGAACTCTGAAGTATAATGAAAATATATGAGGAATAATGTACAGCAAAAGGTTCATTAATAGTCCTTCAAGGTGATTCAAGAACTTCTCACCCTACTATGACCCGCTAGATGTACATTATTGTTGTTACATGGCTACTTACTGAATAGATCAACTATTAGACACAATATATTGATTTAAAATAGATTATATTTATTTTTTGCCTTTGCTAAAAAATATTCTGCTCTCTGAGATGCAAAAGTTCTTTATTCATTGCATCGGTTAAAAATAGACCATATAATGCCTAAGTTAAATTATCCCTATCGAGTATTTAAAAAAAAAAAAGATTCCACATGGAAATGCCACATAGTTTCTGTGGATTTTCTTTTATGTTAATGGTAGAGTGCATGCAGATTAATGTAATTGTGACATGGTTAGCTCGTACAAAATTAAGAAAAGTAACTTTTCTAACAGTTTTGCGTCATTAGGTACATAAATAATTTAAGCATGTTTCCAATTCCCGAAATGTGTCCTTATAAGGAAGGTCCTTGTTGATTTGTTCCTTTTTATAGAAGTTGAAGTACCCTTAATCTTAAGTGTGCTAGCCATGATTAGAACGCAGCACATTGAGACTGAGTGTACCTGTGGTTGATTGATTGAAGTCTGTAATTCTTTTGTAATTGAGCTTCCTTGTTGGAGGTCCAGAACTTTGTGTCTGATTTGTCTTGTTCACAAACTCTATGGATTGAAGAACCCTGCTGCGATTACTGCCGGGTGGTTTAACATCTGGCTCTCCACAGCTGGCAGCCTTCACAAACTTAAAGGGAGTCTGGATCAAGATGCTCCTGTTAACATGCTTTCATCTAATTCATGTTGCTGATTTTCAAGAAGAAAGTGCAGCACAGTCATACGGTGGCACTGCAATCAAACAACACCTGTGTTCTAGCGTGTAAACAAATAATATTCGAAGGTAACTTTCAGGGAATAGTTTTAATCATTTACGCACGTGATCGTCTCTGAGGCCTCTTTGAAAAGCACCTGTTGTAATGAAAACACTTGATTCCGACTGCAGCTGCAGATGTAAGACTTTCTTTACGACTGAGTGATTATGAAATGTAAATATTTATTCACAGTTTTAGACCTAAGTACTCTGGAACAAAGCTTTGCAAAATGTTTAGCTTTCATGTTCCTATACTCTCTTTTTTCCAGTTTCCAGAGCCCCTAACTAATTGCGTCATCCAAAAGCAATACCTTTTTAACTATAATGAACTAGGGCCTTGAAAGCTGTGTACATAACTGTCATTATTACAAAAAAAGAAAGTCAAGCCCCGAGTCAATACAGGCAATTCCAGAGACAAGACCCAAGTCAATACTGATAAGTCCCATAGCCTTATTTTTTACGAACAGTATGACAGTAAACACGTCATACTGTTCTGTTCACTTAATGTAATGCCTTTGTTGTCCTGTGCATTTTGGATACCATCATTTATCTTTTGTCACCTTCCATGTATCACCCCACGGTTTGTGTACAAGAACCAAATTATCTTTGGTATCTTTTTTTTAACAACTGGCACCGAGTAAAGTACTGTTAATTCTTTGTGGTTTTCTCCTGCAACCTCATTGCAATCTGTCAGGTTAGTTCCAACAAAGTACATCTAGGGATTAAAGTTTCAACTTGCTGGGAATGAATACTTTAACGTTAGTTCGTTAGCTGCACAACCTATTAAAGGCTCAACCTCACATGACAAAAGACATTGGTGTTCATGTCCAAGGCAAGTTGCAAGCCTTTATTTATGTTGTCGAGTCCAACTAATAAAATGTCTGGATCAAATCCAAGTCATTTGCCTTGAATCCACGCCTGTTTTTTTTTTGTGTCATGTCATGTGAACAAATGCTTTGGTAAGTATATACAAGTACTTTAAGATTAAAACATGAATTCAATGATTAACCTGAGCAGAAGGCTGGAGATTTTCAGCTCTGGTTCTTTCTTTCATGAGAAATGAAGGCATCATTGTCCTGATTTAATTACATCCATTTTGAACAAACATTACCAGCATTAGAGATCCCTTTTATATTCAGAAAATCAGTAGGACAGACTTGTTTAATGAAAATGAGCATTACTTCTTTATGGTAAAGAATCAGACTTATTGCTAATCAAATGAAAAAATCTTTGTTAATCATACTGATCTTACCTTGTGCAAAATCCTCTAAGAGTGTGAGGTCATCATAAATGACTGCGCTGTATGACTCCAGTAAGTTGCCTGAAATAGGTATGACTGGACATGTAGAAAGCTGGATACACTGTAACCATCATCTAAATCCTAAAAATAGAAAGCCCTTGGAAACCAAGTACTCTATCTATGTGCCAGTAAATATCAATTTGTGGTTAATGATGTCCACACCCTGAAACACCCAGAGAGCCAAATGTAAATATTTGAACTTGACCTTTGGTTTATGACATCAGCATTACTGTTAAACTCCAGTAACACCCTGTCTCGGCTCAACTTGTTTTCTGTTTCTGAGGAGGTGTCTATGTGCATATCTACATGGATGCATTTTTAACAAATGATTTGCTTTCTAAAGGAACTTGATCAAAATAAAACATAAATATTGCCATTTTATGTATTTAACTTAAGTTAACCATTTTATATGTCTTACTCTGGAAAGGCATAAAACAAAATACACCACGACTTAGAACACTTAACAAACAGAACAGGATCTGTCATATATTTATGTATATATGTATGTATATATACCTTGTTAAATTCAACATGTATATTTTCTACTTTCTTGTTCATTTCTAGTCTTTGAACTTTTATTGCACAATGCCATGTCTTTTTTATGCTGCTGCAATGCAAAAATATTCCAAATTGGGATCAATAAAGTACTTCTTATCTTATCTTATGCTTTATAATAAAAATACAGCATTATATCACAAATCAACAACAAGGGTGAAGATGGTGTGCATGTGCAGGCTGTGCTATTGCAGCATTGTTATTTTGAACAAACAGTTACCTCACCCTGTCTACACACACCTAAGCCACACCTGTAGCTTCCAGTGTAGCTCCATACTGAACGTGATTGGTGTCAGGACTCAACTGATTATGTGTACCCTGTCAAGATTGATTTTTCTGTGATATCTGATCCCTTGATTCTTGCGTGATCTCTCGACATTGCAAGAATCGAGCTGCGGTGCAAGGTAATGCCTTTTCTTCAATCAATTTATTTCATGAAGAAGGGCTGTTGGTTGAAAATTAAAGGGAATTTCAGTTTTTCAGTTCATTGTCAAACATATTATGTCTTTGCCCTTGAAGTCTTTTGACTGAGCTCAAACCAAAACCAAACACGCAATCTTAGATTTGTCAGTCCTCTATACTTAGATGCATTCAATGATAGAGGTCTAGATCTTATTGTTCTTGAAAGTACACAGTGTCTCTTTTGGTTGCATCATTTTAAGCATTGCTACCAAGCGGCAACCTCTGGGTCCTAAACTTCAATAGAAGTCAGGTTCTGTAGAAGTTTATGAAAAAAAGGCACAAATTCTCACTCTTTTCTTATTCCCTCAGCTAACATTCACCTAATAGTTTGATGTTTTTCTTCATTACAGGTTTAATTATTAGCTCAATGATGGTCCAATTTGGTTGACAGGCAGTTACCAAAAGATTATTATGATCAGGTATTGGCTGTGTTTATTTCGTAAAAAATGTATCCTTTCACAAAGTGTTAACAACTTCTAAAAAATCTAAAATGTTGGTCCCTTTAAAATATCATATCATATTGGTTCCAAAATGCCAAGATGGTGACAACCAAAAAAACATTAAGATGGGGACAGATTAATTAAGCAAAAAGCTAAAAATGGAAAATGTAACTGTTTGCATTAAGGACATCGAATAAAGCCGCAATTGTGATAAAGGTCAAAGGGTTAGGTTATTGGTTTCCATACAGATGTCAAGCGCTTTTTGTGTCATACATCCTCACCTCCATTCACTGACCCATCCCTTGCAGCTACACACTGCGTTGACAGGCGGGTTGTCAGAAAGGTCGTGCCCCGAGGTGCAAGAGTCAGGCGTTCTCCATCATTCCTTTTCGTGACACAGGACTAGTGGCACCAGATCCTGGCCTCAAGACGAGGTGCTTTGCCACAACACAAAACGTGATCTCCTTGACCTTTTATTTCTTTCACTTTGTCTTTGCTGTATGACAGCTCCTATCTTTCTGCCTCCTCCTCCATGTTTTTTCATTTCCTATTGAAATGTTCTGTTACGCAGTGCTGCCATGCTATGCTAGTAATTCTCAGAGGTGAGACTTTATCGGAGGCACCTCAGTGCACTCACATTCCATCGATGATGACACACATTTGGCCTATGAAGTCTTGCTTCATCATATCATAACTAGGTGTGGGACCATATGCAGTGACTAATGCCACAGAATGCCTCTGACGCTGGTGAATTGATAATTGTTTGCACAAGATAAACATATTCCTCACTGTAACTGAGTCATTTCTTGCATCATGATGTCATGGCAAACATGCATTCGGAGAACATATTTTATCACTGTGTCTCATCTCAATGGTAATGACACTTGTTCGTATCTGATTATCTTTTTTTTAGTTTGTACAGTATTTTGTTTTATTAGTGTCTTACATATGCTGATAAATCCTACATTATAACCGGTAGATTTGTTGCCCAATAGAGTTTATTTTTCGTATCTGTCTGCCTGTTGGAAGAAAAAGCCCACCCCCTTTTTACTAAAGTTCTTTATATCCTCATGAGTAAATATAAATAAAGCACTCATCTTCTATATCAGGAAATGTCACGTGCCTTTTAAAAGACATGCAAGATACAGTAGGATGCTTCCATCACCTTCTTTTGAAGTGTGGAAGTCAATGGCAGCAGATTATTTAAGGAGATGAAGGAAGGAACTGTAGAATCCTCAGTGGAGTTGGTGAATTAAAGAGGAATCACAGCCTGGGGAGGGGGGGGGGGTTGGTTAGAGAGCGCAGAGCTCAAATCCACTACCTAATGCTCCAGTGACCCCAATATGACTCCCTGATACCAAAGGTCATGCCCGCCTCCTGTCTCCCCTCGGCGAATCTGCGACTCACAATCACCCACCATAGCCCCCCCCTCCCACCCCATCACCACCCACACTGCGTCGAAGATTCCCACCCACCTGCTTGTACCCCCAGCTGAGCATCAGAGGCTTCCAGCGTAACATTCTCCTGAGACCATCCCCCCCTCATCCTCCTCTTCTTCCTCCGCCCCCCCCACACTTCTCCACGCCCCCATGGAATTACTTCTATCTGGCCTACTTTCCGCCCTCGCTCTACATCAAGTTGTACATTATCTATATGTTGGCAACACCTCCAAATGTTCTCCTTCATAATCCTTTGTTTGTTTTTCTCTGCGTTCGACCCCAGTTTTATTCAGCTTTCATTTAACTCTCAATTCCTTGTCCTTCTGTGCGCCTTTCTCTGCCTTCTGTTGGCTTTTTATTAACACATTGGTGGCTTCAGGGTGAAATTGTGTCCCTATATGTTGCCTGTCTGTGCTCATTTGTCTTGGCTTTTGCTTACCCTTGGCTTACCAATGGCTTGAAAGAGCCTCACATTACTGAAGAATTCGGCTGTTTTTGTCCAAGTGTTCCTTCTCCGCTTCCTTTTCTGTTCTCTAAAGCAATTTACAAAAACTTGTGCATGTCAAATATAATATCCTTGTGCATTGAGTGGTTTGTGGTAGGAAAAATCGGTTTGTGGTAGGAAAATCGTCTTGAAAAATAAATGTCTTAGTTTCACTTAGGTTACTTAGGCAGCGCCCAATTTAGGCGCTGCAGTAGTTCAAACGACCAAATTAGACTCATTAACGGTGCAGTGGGACAAAAACACCCTGCAACACTGTCAGTGAAGCACAATTAATGTAATTACAATTATCACCCCCAGTAAATGCCAAGATAACGGAAGTGCGTTCGGCCCTCTGCTCAAAGTCTTGCAATGAATGCTCATGGCGTTTTTATATCAAATCTCCAGTCAGATAAGATTGGTAGACATTAGAATGAATTGTTCTTGTAAATTTGAGATTTGAGATGTAATACCGTCACCACATGGTCTATAAGTCACATGAAACTTGCATTATAGGTCACACCGTATTGTGTCATCAGTACGAACATACTACACTCATTCATTCATTTCTTCATGCGCGCAGGCATGCGGTTATCCACATGCTAACACACATACTTGAGTCACCCTTGTGGCTCGCAGCCCTAGCATCACACACTTGATATTCACACAGACGGTACAGATCATTGCAGTGACATGCTATTAGTGACACACTATCACTGACACTTGGCCACAGTCACACATATGACTCGTGTTTCGGTGAAATAATGATCGGCCTGCTTAAGTGTCTCAGTGGCACATCTGTTGGTCATCTGCCAGTTATTGTCACAAAGATTACTGTGGAGAAAATTGATATTTCAAAAGATCTGTAGAGCGCTGAAATGAAAAAACGTCCTTTAGTGATTTCAAACATATAGAATGGTTGGCATTATTGCACTAGGATGTTTACATACATGTTAGCATCTTTTTTGTACAGGTTGTATCAATCTTTATTTCTATGACTTAGTAATAAGTGTCTCATTGGTTCTCATTTCCAAGAAGTGGAGGCTAAGCGTGCAGGTTGTTAGGGTGGAGACTCCTATTACACAAGTGCTGGGATTTAGCAACACACAGCACAACTTGTTCTCAGCTTCTTTTATTTACATTAAACTGGATCAGACAGACTTATTGAATGTGAGGTGAGGTGTGATCTTTATTATCGTCTTTCTATAAATTAATTACTGAAATTGCCCCTAGTGTATTTACTTACCCAAGTAAAGTAAGTTAGTTTCCATTTCTGATTCAACTATTGTCGCTTTTGAAGAACCTCTGTTTAGTCGTAACATTTCAAAGGCCTTCCTTAAAAATTGGAAACACAGCTTCTTACATTTTCTTAGAACGCCCTTGTCAACCTTCCTTTTGTTTCAAATTGAAATGGTTTTATTTACGTGAGACAGAAAAATGCAAAGGGAAAATAAACATGTTTCCATTTCAAAGCTATATTTACAAGATAACTATGAATTAGTATCACTCCAATGCCTATAGCCTATACGATTTTGATAGAAATAAGTTTCACTCTGTGTGTTTCAAACTAAATGCAGTAGGCCACATTCACTCGCCAATTAACTTGGGAACATTCTGTCTTTGTTGCCACACCCCTCAAACTTGACTTGCACGAACAGAAGTTTGTTCTTTTTCTTCAGTTTCCAAACACACCCTATATACAAAGCTTTTGTGACTGCGGCAAAAGGGCAGTGTTTAGGTGTTGGCAGCATGGGTTCAGGTGGAACATCATGTGCTCTCTAATCTCTCCACTATTGTCCTATGTTGTGAAACAAAACTTCCTGCTTAATAATCCACCATGGCTGTCTTAGATCAGTTTAAGCATGGGCTGAGAGTTTGTTGGTCAGATATTTCAGAAGAGGACATCGGGCCTCTTGGACATGCGTGCCAATTGGGTTGTGGTGACTTGTGCTTGCGTTTGCATATTCAGTATTTTGAGGTGGAGGGAGCGGGATCATCATGGCCCCTGGGGTACACTACATCTCTGCTCATCCCCTCCCCACAAGCAGCAGCAGTAGCAGCACATCATTAGGAACAATATCCTCAACTCTCTTTCTCAATCAGAACATTTCATGTCATGCAATGAGACATTTTGGCAGCTGCCACCTTGACCCGTTGCTTTCCCGCCCTCGGGGTGGATGGCGTAAGTCTCCGTCAAACTTATGAAAAGGCTGGCACAAACACAGTATGTCTGAAATCCATTCACTATATTATGTTGTAGGACTCCAAGTTTTTTATTAACATGTCATACTGGTCAGTGCTTTTGGTGCGGCCAACGGTTTTGACGTTATTTTTGGAAGAAATGTCCTGCCAAGTTTACAAAATAAGATTCCTAGAACCTCCTTAGTTAAAACTTATGATTTGATAGATGATATTTGATCATTCACACACTTACAGAAACTACATTAAGGTGGCTGAGAACAGGTCATGAAGTTCTTGTTCTTTTCTTCTCATGTGAATAAATGGTTTCACAAATTCTCCAAAGAAATCAGAGATTATAGGGCTTATTAATATAATTAGATTGCAAATTGACTGTGTGTTATGATTAGTTACAAACAGGTAGAGACAGGATGAAAAGGCATATTGTAAAGTAATGCCTTGAAGTTAAGCTGCACTCAACCCAAATCAGGTGATGCAGTGTTAAACGTAAGGTTGTGTGGCGGTGTGGGAGTGTCACTTAATTACTGGCACATTTACTGTACACCCAGGCACCTGCAGAACTATCATTGTCGTTTTACTCCCTCATGACAGCGTTGTACAGCTCTGGATCGCAGGTTACCTGATTGGCCATTGCAGCGTGATATCTGTCAACTTTTAGCCGCAGGGCATCAGGGTTTATTCCTGCATCCCCCAAAAATACTTCTCCTACTTAAACAAACAACAGGACTGGCGCCTGATTTGTTGTGAATTCAGCCTTACTGGCACACACTATTTGATGGGCTTAATGGACTGCAATAGCTCACCAAGTAGTACGGACGAACAACGGGCCATTGTTTGAACTGCTTTTACCTCTTCATTATCAGGGAAAATTAACCCATCTGACTTTTTTCCACCAAAAAAACACAAATATATGCATATTTTATACAAATGGCTTCATGGCTCACAATCAACAGATGGATATACATTTGAACTGTAACTTATGACATTTAGAATAAATCAACTTATGACATTTAGAATAAATCATATACCATAGACCATATACCATATCATCTTGATATTATACTGTGGTTGATCAGTTTGCTTTCATACCCCAATAACCCACACCAGGATCCACTTGTAGTCGGTCAGACTCACATTTTCAAGCAGTCCATCTCCGGATTTTTGGTCTGTATCAACATTAAATTGACAGCTTTCACACCAGCCCAAGTTAACTTTATTAACCAAGGGTCAAGGATTTATTTTAACAGAACCAAACAGGTCAGATTAGAAAGCACCCTGAGTTAGCCTTGATCATCAAGTGACCCTAACCCAGCGTTTCTCAAAGTGTGGGGGCGCAGAGATGCGAATGGACGCGATGAACGGGAGATTATTATTATTTTTTTGTTTTTTTTTAATA